GATAAGGTAAAACTAAACCTCTTAAGAGAAAAGCTTAGTTGTAAATCTTCATTCATGACCTTGGATCATGGAGTGGTTTCTTAGATAGGACAATAAAAGCACAAATAATAACAAAATTGATAAACTGGATTTCATGAAAATTAAAAATTTTCTACTTCAAAGGACAACATCAAGAGAGTGGAAAGTCAACCCACAGGATGGGAGAAAATATTTGCAATATTAGAGATTTTTGTCTAGAATATATAAAGAGCTCTTACAACTCAGTGATAAAAAGACAACCTAATTTAAAAATGAGCCAAGGATCTGAATAGATATTTCTCTAAAGAAGATATACAAATAGCCAATGAGTACATGAAAAGATGCCTAATATCATTACCCATCAGAAAAATGCTTATCGAAACTATGAGATATCACTTCACACCCAAGTAGGCTGGCTATTATAAAAACGAACAGAAACAGAAAACAGAAAAAAAACCAAAAAACAAAAAAAACCCCACCAAAAACAAAAACCCAAAACACAGACTATAACAAATGTGGTCTGGATGTGGAGAACCTGGAACCCTCAATTTCTAGTGGGAATGTAGAATGGTTGCTTTGAAAAGTCCGACAATTCCTAAATGATTAACCATAGTCACCGTATGACTTAGTAATTTGACTTTTCAGTATATATCCAGAAGAAATGAAAATATGTCTACCCAAAATCTTGTTTCTGTAGCATGTTCATAGCAGTATAATTCATAGTAGCCCAAAAATGGAAACAAAACAAATGTTCATCAACCAATGGAGGTAAATCAAATGTGGTTCATCTATTCGATGGAATGTTATTTGGCAATAAAAAGGAATTAAGTACTGATAATGGCTACCACATGGATGAACCTGGAAAACCTTATGCTAAGTGAAAGAAGCCAGTCATAAAAGACCATATATTGCATGATTCCATTTATGTGAAATATCCAGGATCGAGACAGGAAGTAGATTAGTGGTAGCCAAGCCTGGGGATGGTGGTATTGGGGACATAGGAGGTGTCCTAAAGGCTATAGGATGATGAAAATGTTCTAAAATTGATTGTAGTAATGGTTGCACAACTCTGACTATACTAAAAACCACTGAATTGTATGTACACTTTAAATGAATTGTATCATGTGTGAATTACTATAGACTGTTAAAAAACAAAGGAACCAGGAGCACCAATAGTTCAGGACAAGAGCCCTTGATATTACTTAATATCATTGTGACTTTAGAAAAAGAACTTGTCAGCTGGAGTTAATTGATTTGAACAATTCAAGTTCACTAGGCAAATAAGCATAGGATAGCTTACAATGCTGGCCATTTTTTTTAGCACAGTTTTCAAATGACTATGATGGTAAGAGGAGAATAAAGTCTCAGGTGAATGAAAGCTACATGATGTAAAAAGAAAAAAGTCAGGTAAAGTTGGTAGATAATGTTATTCATATATTCCGTATTCTTATTGTCAATTTTTGCTTGAGATATTTCAGGATTCTATTATTAGGTGCTACACATTTAAGATTATTATGTCTTCTTGATGTATCTGACCTCTTATCATCATGCAATCACCTTCTTCATCTCCATACTACTTGCCTTGAAGTCCACATTATCAGATAAAATTAATATAGCCATATCAGCATTCTTAGGGTGTGCATTTTTCCCCATGTTTTTACTTTCAACTTGCCTTTGTCTTTGTATTTAAAGTGCTTTTCTTATAAACAACACAGTTGAGTTTTGCTTTTATATCTTGTTGACAATTTTTTCCCTTAAATGTAAATGTTCATTTACATTTAGTGTAATTATTGATATGTTGGGTTTAATCTGCCATCTTGGAATTTGTTTTCTAATTTCCCCATCTGTTCTTTGTCCAGTTTCTCTTTTCCTTCCTTCTTTTGGGTTGAGTAGATTTTTGTATTCTATTTTGCCTTATAGCCCAGCTGCCAACTGTTTGGGTAGGTCAGGAGTTAGCCTTGCTCTTGAACTCAACCCCTGGCTTGTCTTGGAAGATCTCTCTTCATCCTGCTTTGCATATCTCTCTTCATCCTACTTTCCATTTGGTGAAGGCTCAGTGCTTGTCAGAGGGATCTTACTCAGAGATTGTCCTGCTCCTAGCCTTCAGGGAACTGCTGCTTTGCGCTCAGCAAAGGCCTGGGGGTACTTCAGGAAGACTTCTCAGGCTTCTGTTCTGTCTGAGCCTTTGATGTGTAGTGGTTGTGCACTAGGTGCAAGCTCTGTGAAAAAGAACTGGCAGGTGGGTATGGAGTAGTTCTTTGATTAGAGCTCCTCAGAACTCTAATTCCTCATATCAACAGCTGTTAAGAGTTAATAAAGTTTCAGCTGGTTTCTCCATACTTCCCTTTTTGGCAGGTTTATTCTTTCTCCTGTCAGAGATAAAAGCAGTTAGGCATCTCTTTTTTGGGAAGGGATCATTTGTATGTGGAATTTAGTTCATTTAGGTTACTTTGCTTCTAAGCTTTAATGGGTTTTTAAAGAAAATTTATGATTTTATGGCTTATACAGCTTGTTGTTTTAGGTTGGGGTTATTTCTGAAGTGTATATTTTTATAATTATATGGCAATGGAAACATTTTTAAAGCATCTACAATTAATGTTTATTTTTTAGTGGCTTCTTGAGTGATAATTGCCTAGTGTGGAATACCCAAGGAATCTGTAAAAGGTCAATGAATAAATGAATGGTGGCATTTACTTTAGGTATTGAGTCACTGGTATTGGCCCCACATTAATATACATAATCTCCCTTATGATCAGTAATACACACTTAATGATGGTGGGCTACAGCTAGGGTACAGTTTATTAATTAAGCACCAAAAGAAAGTATAGTGATTATGAAATCTTGCCTCATGAGCATTTATGCAGCCTTATGAGTTAAAATATATTCATAATTATATTCATAATTAATATGGCTTATGTGGATCACTTTAGAGCTGTATACAAGGTTTGGTCATACTCATTAAGATAATTTTGGTTATATTTGTTAAAAATAAAGCTTATTTTTACACTTCACTGTAATGCTGTGAAAAAGACTTTATGCCCTTCTTTGTTTAGTTTTCATGTTTTGATTGTATTTCTTTTACCTTACATTATCTTTTAAGATTCTGTAGAAGAATTTTGCCTGGTAAATGCAGGCTTACCTAATGCTATGCTCTCTGAAATCTAGGAGTGACTGGTCCACAGAGGAGAATCAGGCATTAAATGTTCAACAGATTTTTTTTAAATGTAAATTCTCAAACATTCATAAAGTAAGTAGTGCAAATAGAATAATAAACTTCCATACTTCTAATAACTGTTGACATAGGTTAATCAAACTTGTTTTATTTATCCTGCCCACTTTATAAAAAAAATTGATTGGCTGGTAGAATATTTTATTTATTTTTGATTGCTAAAATGTTTTAAAGCTAATCTCAGATGTTATGTCTTGTTTTAACTGTAGGTTGCTCTGCCTGATACAGAAAATTTTAAAACATAATTACTGTGACATATCTAATAAAGTTAATAATTCCATAATTTTTCAAACATTGCTTTTTCATGTCATGTTTCCCTAGCTACCTGGAAACACCTGGGAAAATTAACTTATACTTTGTTTCTAATGTTATCTGATTAATATTATGCTGATTTCTAAACATTTGAATATTTACTGCTTTTTTTCTATTGCTCTCAAGAATGTCCTAGATATGTTCATAGGCCATATTATGGCCTATGAAAAAATTCATTCTGAGACCAGGTAAATTTTATAAACAATGTATACTTGATCCCCTTATGGTGATTTATAAGATATATAATGCAGGTTATAAGTAGCAAAGGTCTGAGAAATTTGGCAATAAAGAGTTAACTTAGCTTAACCAAGAGTTTCCTAAATTTATTTAGCCCCAGAACCTGTTTTTTATGTAACCTCTGTTAGCTAAAATACATTTTGGAGAATACTATTTTAGGCAGGAGAATGCTACCTCTGAATGGCAAAACAGAAGCTGTTAACTTCATTTGTATTTGAGTTAGATAATTATCCTTATGGCATAATCATAATCATGTAATATATATTTTTTCCCTAAAATCTGCTTAATATTGATAATGCAGTACAACAGGTCATCCTCCTCAGGATCTTACATTCTGAAAATCTTTCAACACACTGTAAAAGCAAATCAAGTATGAGCATTTTGTTTTTTCATGAGATAGATATTTGCCAAAAAAAAAAAAAAAAAATAGGTATACACCACAACCCATCTGTAAAGAAAGATAAATGCATTGGTATTGTATTAAAGGGGAAGCTAGAAATAAGATGTGTAGAAACTTAAGGAAATACAAACCAAAAGATAATAGTGATCAATTAGATTATATTTTATTTGTGAAGAACTGGTTAAAAATATCTTTAAAGGGGCACTGGGGTGACTTAGTTGGTTAAGTGTGGACTTTTAATTTCGGCTCAGGTCATGATCTCAGGGTCATGAGATGGAGCCCGGGTCAGGCTCTGCACTCAGTGTGGAATCTGCTTAAGATTCTCTCCCTCCCTCACCCTTTGCCCCTTTCCCTGCCCCAGCATCCTGCGAGCATGTGCACTGTCTCTCTCTTAAAAAAAAACAAAAACAAAAAACTTTTAAGAAGTTTAAACTTAGGCAGTGGTGTGGAAATAAATTCTTACATTTTTATGTACTTTTATTTTTAAAAAATATTTCTTTATTAGAGGGAGAGAAAGCATGAGCAGAGGCCAAGTGGAGGCTAATTGCCCATCAAAGGAAAACATTCTCCATTCTGCCACTCTTCTCTGCTCACTGACACTAGAGTGAGAAGGGAATCTAGAGGCACTCATGTTCTAGAGGATCTGCATCTCAGCCTAATATGATCTAATTGACACTCATCCCTGGCCCCCCACCTTGCCAACCCTCCAGAGTGAATTAGCTGGTTGCTCCTGTCTTCATATAGCATAAATGTGTAGACGGTTGTTTTTTCTGTGATGCCCCAATAGTAATTTTTCCATTACAGTCAAACTGCAACTTCAAGCAGAAGAGAGAGGGGTTGTGTCCATCAAAGGAGTATGTGCAAATCGCTATCTTGCCATGAAGGAAGATGGAAGATTACTGGCTTCTGTAAGTAATACTCTTCGTAGTTTTTTTTTTTTTTTCTTTGTTAGCTTTTGTTGCTGTTAATTTACTAGTATTGGTATTTATTCTTTATTAAGGATTTTGCAAGTATTATATAATCTAACCTTCATATTCACCCTATAAAATAGTATTACTCTCTTTATTTCACAGATACAAAAACTGAAGTTCTGAGGGAGTAAGTAACCTTGGAAACACAGCTCATAAGAGGTAGAGCCTGGATGGCACTTGAGGCAGTCTTGACTCTAGAGCATGAGCTCTAATTCATTGCATTTTACTGCCTTCTCTGCAAAGCTATTAAGCTATAGTTGTTAAAAAAATTCTTATATTGTGCAGTTGTTTGAAGATCAGTGGGATGGATATATACAATTTTGAGTATCAGTTTTTAAGTTTCTGCTTTCAGATTTCACATACAAAATGTTTGCAGTATAGAAAACTAGGTAAGAAAGTGGGTTCTTAACCTAGATACGGATACCGGCACTGCCACATATTAGCTGTGTGTTCTTGAGCAAATTAGTCTGAGTTAGTTTCCTTACCTGTAAAATAGAGACAATAATGATCCTATCTTAAAGAGTTTTTGTGAGGACTAAATTAGAGACTTTATATCAAATGCCAAAATCCGGGTCATGCATAATAGGCCCTCAAAAGTTTTACCTCCTCTTCCTCTACTCATTTATATATAAGCTCATTCAGGACAAAGACTGTACTTTTTCACTTTTCATCACAGCTAGTCAGGAGTCCTTGCTCCTGGCTAGTACTCTTTTCACTAATGCAGCCTCCCTTTCAACTCCACCATTGTCATCAGAACCAGGATTAGAGGTCTGTTGGGCAGACATAATATGTGGGAAATACTGCAGAGAAATAAAGCAGTATAAAAGATAGATTCGACTTCTGTTTCACTGGGGGAGTAGATGGGACATATACATAAAGTGTGTGTGTGTGTGTGTGTGTGTGTGTGTGTATACACACACAGACGATAGCCATGATACCAATACCAGTAGCCAGTTACCATTGCTTATAACTTTCCCCATATAAGAGACCCAATATTACTGAGCAGTTATGGTGTTTTAAGCCATACACATAGTTTTTGAAATTTTTTCTGAGTGACGACCTTTGGATTTCTGAAGGTACCAAAACAGACTTCTTACAGAGAAAAAGAATATTTCAATCATCTGATCGATCATCTGACAAGGATATATTTATGTTGATATACTATCAACTTACGTGACTTTTATGGGATAAATAGCAACTCTGGGTGTAATGGTGTGCGGCTCCCTCTTTGGTAGTTGAATAAACTGTAGAATCCTCTTCAAGAATAGCCAATATTTACTGAGTGTACAGTGTGCCAGATGCTATGCTAGGCATCTGGGTTATAAAATTGAATACCAAATTGTCTGTGCCCTTAATGAATCACAATCTTGGGGGGGGGCAGAAGTGTAAGTATTTGTAATAATTGTAAGGGTTTTGATGTGTTCCTTCTATACCTTGTATAAATGCATAGTAATATTGGATAAGAAGTAAGAAGTATTATGACAAAGGAAGTAATAGAGGAAAGGAAGTGATTAAACTTATCTTGGAAGATGACCCATCAATAGGATTTTAGATGATGTAGGAGAAGGAATTTATCAGGCAGTCAGGGAGCAGAGGAGTGGAGATGAGGGTATAGATACTTTTAGAACATAGTACGTGAAAGACATGGATGCAGAAGGCTTAGGAGGTGTTTCTCCAGCATTACAAATAATTCACTACTGCAGGAGTGTAAAGTGCAAAGGAAATGCAAACTGGAAGAGAAAAGGCTGGAGAGGTAGATAGACTACTTGCTGACATGCCTTCTACAGCGTGTGTTACAAGCAGTGGAAAGCCATGAAGAGTTTTAAGAAGAGACACAATCTGTTTTGAATTTGAGAAAGATCACTCTGGCAGCATTACAGAGGACGTTTTTGAGGGGGCTGACATGGTGGAGACAAACCAGTTAGAAGGCCTTTGTAATAGTCCAAGCAAGTCATGATGAAAATCTGGCAATGACAGGACAGAGAGGATTGAGTAAAGTACTAGCACTTGATTTAGGAGTGAAGTAGAGAGAAAAGTCCTAGGTTTCTGGTTCAGATGAGAAGGTAGATGAGAAAGGGGAAAGAGGGAAAGAGCAAGTTCTGGGAAAAGGTAATACAGGTTCAAATTTAGACTTACCTAGTTTGAGTTGCCTAAGAGAAATTCAGGTGGGGATGTTCACTACATAGTTGTAATTTGGGTCTGGAACTTGGAAGAGAGGTCTGTGTCCATATATAGATTCGGGTGTCATCAGCATATAGCTAATAGTCAAATTAGGGGAATGGATGCGGTTCCTGGGCAAAAAATATCGTCCCAGAAGATTGACTACTTGGGACTTGTACTGTTGTCTTTTTCTCCTACCAGTCTGTTGTCAACTTAAAGGGTGATATAATATGTTGGGAATCTACCAAAGGAGCATTTTAAATATTTCCAGGACAGTGAATCAGTAATTTTGGATGACCTTGAGTTTGTAGAGAGGAGAGGTTTATTCCTACTCTTCTCACATCAGGATGTGACAAAACACATGTAGTGTGAATCATGATGGCTTCTGCAAAGGTTTGGTGTTGGTTTGCCTACTGTCAAACAGTGAAGGTGGTGGAGAAAATAAAGGAGATGCATACCTTTGCTTTTGTTATGACTAACTGTGGACAACATTAGACAAGTGGTTTTAAAGCTCTCACTTTTTCTTAATCTGGTTCAGTGAATGATTTGGAACTGTTATCCTGTAGTTTTCCACTTACTGAGATCAGAAGATCCAGTAACCTAGTAATCATGGTGGCCCTGTAAGATACTCATGGGAGGGGTTATTTATCTCCAGAACATAGGCTGGAATTTATGTTCATCTGTTATGATGAAAAGCTTCATAGTTGTCAGAAGTGATGAAAACAGAAGCTACTCTATTTTAAAGCGCATCTCTGAAACTACTGGGGTCCATAAAAGAGGAGATGAATTTAGAACAAGTCTAGACATGAAAACTGAACTATCTTCTCATTCTTACAGAATTCTCTACAAGTTAGAATTCAGAGAATTCTGACCTCTTCTCTTGGTGAATAGTCATTAAGCTTTCCAAACTGTTGATTCTGTGCCATCAGAAGCAGAAAGTACTCTGAAATAAAGTGTTTTATAGTTTCTTCCTTAGCTCAGCAGGACCTTTCACAAGATTAAGGTATTTTATTTCGTCTTAAATATGTTTCTATCTCTTTGGATATATATTCTTCCTGATACAACAGATTTCCTTCAAGTTGATGCAATAAGAGTTAATTTAGCAATGCTTAGAAATTTTTATCACAAACTATGTAGGGACAAAGTCACAGCTATTACACATAAATGGAAAATTTAGGATTTATCAGTTTCCTTTGAGCAATGGCACCAGCCAAGATTCAGTTGTTGTCACTCCCATCATAGGCTTTATTCTTGCCAAGTTCACGAGTTAATCTCCAGTCTTACCATTCAATGTATGCGGCTTGCTTCTTTGACTCTTCAGCAGCAATCCTATCTCTTCCAAATTAGTCTGGGTGGGCTGCGTTATTTTTCAGATGAGAAGTGCCCCTACCCTCAAATCAAGGAGGTGATGTCGGTTGGTCAGTAAGTGACATATTTCTTTCCAAGTCAGATCCATAGGCAGTGAGATGTCAACAACAGCAACTTTTAGGTAAGAAATTAAAAGTCTTGACCCTTGGCTATTAATATTATCTGTGCCAAACATTTAATGCGTTGAGATGAATCACTGATGGTAAAAGACACCGTCGCCGGGGATGTCAGCAGAGACCTCACTCAGGTGACAATGAGAAGAGACAGCTGGCATATAAAAGGCAAAGAGAACAAAAAAAACCTAATAGCAACTTTTGGTAGAAGTCCAGTGTGTGACCACTAGCCATCATGGGGATGCAGATGCCTCTTATAACCTGGAGAACCTGGGGTTTATGAACTTGCATTTGCCACAAGCATAGTTCTTTCCACTCTTCTACCTGGCCCCATTTCAGACTGTTGTGTTATGGCACATCCCTGGATTCTTCTACCTTATCCCCTGTTTATGATTCCTGCAATGATTTGCAAAACATTCTCATTTCCTCTTAGAAGACTACTCTGGACACATAAAATATTTTGGTGTCTAAGAGTCATGTTGATTGCTACCAGTTGAGAGTATGAAAAAAGACTAAGTTTTTTCCCCCAATACCTTCACATAGTAATGGCATGAATGCTTTCAAGCTAAGGAATCCTCACTGTTTGAAAACATTTCTTAAGGGTCTTTCCCCTGCCCCCTTTTGAAGCTAGAAAATACAAACATTTATTTTATTTTTTTTATTTTTTAGATTTTTTTATTTATTTGTATGACAGAGAGAGACACAGCGAGAGAGGGAACACAAGCAGGGATAGCGGGAGAGGGAGAAGCAGGCTTCCCGCTGAG